AGTTTATATAAAATTAATACTCTAACTGGTACTGAATTTTGATTGCTCTCTAATTGTCCATTTGTTGACTCGAGAAATGGGTTTGGCATATTTTATTATTTGACACCATTTTTCGATTGTCAATTAAAAACGTACTAGCATAGCGGCACGCACACAGGCATACTATGTATAGCACGGGGCACTAACACATGGTTGGTCTCTACTCGTTGCTTCTTCTCCTTCGTTCCATCCTTCCCTCTTCCCCTAGGCCCCATGTGCTTCCAAACAAACGCACGTGCAATGATTCGAACTAAATATTATTTTCTTTTAAACTCAACAAAATAGAGGGAAATTGTTTATTCAAAATTATTTTCCCCATTCAAAATTATGAGGTGTTTTTGAGATTATTGAACAATTATAACCAGAGCACCAGCACTAATTATTAGTGCAATTTTATTAATAAATAATTTTAATTATTTATTAATAATAGCAATAAACAATTTTTTCACAATTTTTATTAATTTTTAATTTTTTTTATTTATTATTAAATTTTTTTTATAATCGGAATTATTTAAAATAATAATTCCAGAAAAGTATCAAATTTCACTTTTCTCGCCTGCTAAACAAACGCACGTGCGATGGCTTGAATTAAATATTGCAAGTCAGTATCAGTTTGCAAGTCAGCAAAAATCTTCTTGACCAATGGGCCTTAGGTTCCAACCCTACTTCTACTCCCACAACCACCTCTTCTAATCCTAAATCTTCCCCCAGATTTAGAAGCAAGGACTAGAGGAGCAATTAACGTTTTCAATATTAGTAACAACTTTCGCTCTCTTAGTAAGCTTCTTGTGGAGGCATCAACGGATTGCGAAACGCCGGGACGCGCCCGTCTGTTAATCGGCCCCTAATTTGACGGACTACTACGAGATAGTGTCCAAATTTAGGACAGACGAAAATAAATAAAAAGGAAAAACTTTACTTAGTGAAGTCTGACCAAATTTAATTATTTTCGTCAATCATTTTTTTGATTCAAGTTAATAATTAAAGATAATAAATTTTTTAAATTTTTTTAAAAGATCACAGACTAAAAATTTGAGTAAAATTAAGATATTAAATTCAGTGCGTAAGTGCTTGCCTATTTTATATTTTCTTTGTCCCTCAAATTGTGAACTGTTTTGTGCGTGTGTGTAGTGCTTAGCAGGCCAAATTTGAGAAGCCTGGCAAGAGTAAAGTAAAAAAAAAACAATAAAAGGTATCTTCGCCCGCCGAACAATCAAGTTCCGACGGTAGGAAATAAGAGAATTATTTTAAGGAGAGAGTGAGTGAGTAAAAATTTTGTATCGTTTCAATTTTCTTATTATCTTTCTTATAATCCCACAGCCCCACAAAAAAAGAAAAGTACCCTGCGCGAAAGTCGACAGTACCATACTCCTATGTATTTTGATGCGCTAAACACGAATCCGAAGTCAGATTTGCCTTATCACGTCAGGATTTTTTTCTAACCTCAAAAAACATGTGAGATTTTATGTAATTTATGTAAAATACAAAATTTTTTAAAAATTGATTAGATTTGTCTCAAACTTGTTTCTCGGGGGTTTTTAAGATCGCTGATTACGAATCTGCAGTTAGTTTTTAAAAATTCAAGATGGCGGATCCAATATGGCGGACAAATTTAAAAAATTTGTTGGATTTTCACTTTACTTGGTATATAGGGGTTTTCGGGGTCGCTGATTACAAATTTGCAGTCAGATTTTAAAAATTCAATATGGCGGATCTAATATGGCGGTCATTTTTTTAAAAATTGATTTATTTTGCATTAAAATGGGTATTCAGTGGTTTTTCGGATCACTGATCACAAATTTCAAATCAGACTTTAAAAATTTTTAACAACTGGTCCAATATGATTTGATATGCAAGCATTTTGGGAGTCGGTGAATTTAAAAGTTTCGAAAAGTTTGTTGGTAAACATTTATGCAGCAGGAAATGCAGATTTTTGGTAACCTAAATGCCTAAATTAAAAGGTATTTATCGAGACGACATCTAGGAACATTTCTAGAGAATTAGGCATAATTTCTGGATGAAGTTCAATTCAACAATTGCAGAATTCCTGTCTATCAAAGTAACGAAGCCAGCGAAGGCGCGCTGCCTTGCAGGGGGACGTTAGGGTGTGAGGATGATACATAGTGTGTCCGACGACGAGTTGACAATGTCCTTGTCAAAGTCGGAAAGCTCTCATACTTAGGCCTAGGGAGGTATGAGAGTTATCACCCCTAGGACGGTGGACTCGCCTGCGATCGGACCAGGATCCCCAGCGTGCAGGCATTTTCCTAAATATCATGGCTTTCAAAAATCAAAACAATAAAAAACTTCAAACGCTTCAAAAGTTATTTTTGGAGTGTCAACGTCACAACATGCATTTGACAGCAATGCAAATGTATTTTGTTACGTATGCAGACAATTTGTTATCCCGAAAAATTGCAAATTAATTAATGAAAACATTAAAGAAATTTACAAAGATTGTATTTATTTTGAGATAGTCAATCAGAATGAAAAATGGGTTCCACATATAATCTGCAGTTCCTGCTACACAATGTTAACTCGTTGGAATGATACAAAAGAGGATAAACGCAAGAAGAGCTTAGCAACCTCATCAGAGATTTGAAATTACCTAAAGATGGAGCAGAATATCAAGCTTCAATTTTAAAAAAGAAAAATTTGTTATCTAAAGGCACCACAGCATACTTTTATTGTGACAGAGAAAAGGAATTTCGGAAATATTTTTACAAAAGACGATGAACTTTCATTAGCATATTGTTCTGACATTGAAGGACTAATAAATGAATAGAAACCAAACGTATATGAAGATCAACATTGGAGGTTATTCATTGACTCTTCTAAAATAAGTCTAAAGGCAGTGCTAATTAATAACACTAATGTTTTTGCTTCAATTCCCGTAGCCCATTCCACTGAACTTAAAGAAGATTATGAAACTGTCAAATTAGTTTTGGAGAAAATTAAATATAAAGAACACAATTGGCAAATTTGTGGAGATTTTAAAATTATAAGTATCATGTTGGACCAACAAGCAGGGTTTACAAAAACACCTTGCTTTTTATGTTTGTGGGACAGTAGAGATCGAAAAAAACATTACGTACAAAAAGAATGGCCCAAAAGAACATCCTTTACACCAGGTTCCAAAAATATTATAAAAAACCTCAAGTTGAACCTACAAAGGTAATTCCACCACCTTTACATATTAAACTAGGGGTAATGAAACAGTTTGTAAAGTCTTTAGATAAAGAAGGAAAATGTTTCAAGTACCTGGAACAAAAATTTCCAGAGATATCTGATGCGAAATTAAACGAAGAAATTTTTGTTGGGCCTCAAATTCGCAAACTAGTAAAAGATGAAAAATTCATCACAGTAATGAGTAAAAAGGAGAAAGCTGCATGGCTTAGTTTTAAGGAAGTTATTGAAACTTTCTTGGCAACCATAAAAGCGAGAATTGGAAACTAATAGTGAATGATATGATCAAAATTTTTCAAAAATTGGGATGCTTGATGAGTTTGAAGCTCTATTTCCTACATTCACATCTAAGTTACTTTCCCAAAAATTTAGGAGACTACAGCGAGGAACAGGGAAAACGGTTTCATCAAGATATTAATGAAATGGAGAGCAGATATTAAGGTAGATGGGACGTAAATATGATGGCTGACTATTGTTGGATGCTAAAAAGGGATATTGTTCCAGGAAGAGTAAACTTAAAAAGAAAACCACAGCACAGATCTTTAGACGACAAACGAGTCCGTTACCATAAACAGACATAAATAAAAATTACATTATTTTTAAATGGACATATTGATTTTTCAAAATCTAATTGAAGATTTGTTATCAGTGATCCGAAAAACCACTGAGTACCCATTTTAAAGCAAAATAAATCAATTTTCGAAAAAATGACCGCCATATTGGATCCGCCATGTTGAATTTTTAAAATCTGACTGCAAATTTGTAATCAGCGACCCCGAAAACCCCTATATACCAAGTAAAGTAAAAATCCAACATATTTTTTAAATTTGTCCGCCATATTGGATCCGCCATCTTGAATTTTCAAAAACTAACTGCAGATTCGTAATCAGCGATCTTAAAAACCCCCGAGAAACAAGTTTGAGACAAATCTAATCAATTTTTATAAAATCTTGTACTTTACATAAATTACATAAAATCTGATATGTTTTTTAAGGTTAGAAAAAAATCCTGACGTGATGGAGCAAATCTGACTTCTGATTTATGTTCAGCGCATCAAAATACATAGGGGTATGGTACTGTGGACTTTCGCGCAGGGTACTTTTCTTTTTTTGTGGGGCTGTGTCTTGTAACTTCTCCTACCTAAAATTTTTAAAAATAAATTGTAATCTCTTACTAAAAATTTTTCTGTCTCTTATTGACTAATAATTTTCCTTTAATTATTTAAATTTTAATAAAATTAAAATTCTTTTATGTCTTTTATTGCCTAATAATTTTCCTTTAATTATTTAAATTTTGATAAAATTAAAATCGAAAAGGGTTGCTTGGTAAACTCTTTTAAAAGAGAAAAACGATCCCATACAATAAAAACAGGGTTATCCGACCCTGGCAGCTTGGTTTCCTCCAACGAACCTCCGCAGGCACGCGGTAGAATTTCTTTTCATCGCTCAACAAGTAAATTTTTATATTCCAAATTTTTGACTTCTGGATTTTTCTTCGGATTTTAATAATTTAATAAATAATTATTTTTCGGTTCGTAAGATGAAAATTATGTCGAATAGCAATTCGGAGGATTAATAATTATGACAAATAGTCATTCGGAAAAACAAAGTTTATGTCAATTAATTTTTCGACATATTAAAAATTATATTAAAATAATTCGACTATTTACATAAATATTAGGATAAAGAATAATTCGATAAATTAAAAATTATGTTGAATAAAATTTCGATGTTATGAAAATTAGGAAATTGAAATTTGATGAGTAATCATGCGCTCCCTTCCTAACCTCCTGTACAATTCGTCAGGTGCTTTAGACCATTTCTAATTTCCATGCTGGTGTGTGTTCTCGGTTTACCACTTTTGTCTACTTGGATTCTTTCAACGATGATCCGAGAAATCTTTAAAGCGTTTTTGCCCTCCTGCATCCACGGGTCACCAGCCATCACCCCACGCCATGCGCTTGACGAGTGAAACCGGAGAAGGATTTTTCCGAAGCTATACGTGCTGTTTTGGTTGTCCTATAGTGTAACGCCCCGCTACTACTACAAGGTCTACAGAACATATCCATGATGCCAACCGTGTCTATCAGTGGATAATTATCCACTAGTCCCAGCACATCTATGACACCATAGTATTAAAAATTATTTAATACAAAACATATATTTCTTTGATATCAGAAGAGTAAACACAATTTTGAATCAGACAATTAGACAAGTGACGGAATATTGGTTTTTTAAAGTTCTTATGGAAAAATTAAAAATAAATTTCTGAAGAGGGAAATGGATTCAGTTCCGAAACGTTAAATTGATATTTAATCTATGCTAGAAGCGTTTAATACTGGAATTGCAATGTGTTTATTACCAATTTTGAAAAATACACCCGGAACAATAATATCATTGTATGAAACAAAGGCGAATTTATTTTTTGGTATTACTTTACTTACGTAGTTTGTCACTACATGAATCTGCTGATTCATGCTCGAACATTAAAGTTCCCTCATCAATACTTCCTTCTGCTACCCTTAAGCCCTCAATTTCTATGGCTGTAGCAAGTCTTTGTACTGAGTTTCCTACTCTAATAAAATAGTGCTTTTGTGGAAATTCTTGAGAGATATTTTGGAAATTTCCTTTTAGCAATCGTTTGATTTTCCTTTTGGTTCTTTCAGAAATATGATCCATATAATTAGCTGACTGCAAACATTTTTTCATATAAAAACGATTTACTATCAGCTCAGCTCGGGTAGTCGGACTTTTGACACTGTACCACTCTTTTCCGATGTCTTCCATGAAATATTTCGGTAATTGCTTCATGCAACCTTAGTAATGTCCACGACAATCATCGTGCACACAGCCAGCACTTTAATCAATGTTTGTTAATATTGCTAAGCAACTGAAACCTAACACTCCACTTTTAGGTACACCTAATGCAGCACATCTCATATCACACAGCAAGTTTTCTTGTAAGCGCAATTCCGAATTTCCGAAATGATAAACTGAACCGCCGGATCGTAGAAGGCATACGCCTATAACTCAGCGCTTCGACTTGGCCCCTGAAATGAAAATTTTTTTTTCGAATTTTGATTTTTTAATTATAATATATCCTTGTAGAGAATGAAATTACGCAACTTTTTCCCTAACAAACTTTTTTCTTAAAATGAATTGTTTTCAAAATAATAGTAAAAAACCGTATTTTTTCTTAACGTAAAATTTCAATCTCTTTTAAGTTCAACTCCTCATAAATCCGACATTTTTTGATATTTGTACTTCATATTTGGAGGATTTACTCATCAAAGTCTTCAGGAAATGTTGGTTAAACAATAAATAAAGCAAACCGAAAACTAACATTTTTATTTATTTATTTTAAAAAAAGGCAAAAAAATTATTCAATACTTTCAAATGAAAAAAGTCTGTGGGGACTTCCAATTTGGAAAAACTTCCAGTAAGACAAATGTTCATGATAGTTCAATAAAGTTTTTCCAAAAAGTTCCAAATTGATTCGCTTAAATATTTACAATTTATGACAATTTTACTTTTTGGTACCCTGCGCCAAGCCCGGCCGTGAGCATAGAAATAGTGGCGTAGTGCCTGATATCTTGAGTCATTTAGTTATTGTAAAACATTTTAGTTTTAAAACCAGATTTTAATATTTTAATGTGCATTTTTAAGCAATTTTAAAAAACACAATTTTTATTTTCTATAATTGTTACATTTTATTAAATATATAAAATCCAATTCATCGTTAAAAAATTTGTAATTTCATTCTCTACAAGGATATATTATAATTAAAAAATCAAAATTCGAAAAAAAATTTATTTTAGGGGCCAAGTCGAAGCGCTGAGTTTCAAGCGTATGCCCTTCTACGATCCGGCGGTTCGACTGCTGATAAACGCGCTTCCCCTTAACATTGCAGTACGGACAAGCATCAAGTCCGGAACATCCTTTATTCTCAATATTTCTGATCTTGCCACGGAGTCGACAGTAAATATTAATGTAATAAATTTACTTATTACTGCAGGTCTACCATCATGTTGCTTTTTCAAACCATTATCTTGCAGGTACATAAATGAATCTAAAATGTTTACATGTTTACATCTAGCATAAGGTTCATTTATTTGCAAAAGAATGGGTGTACCAGAAGCATTAGACGGTCTTGCTAGAGAAACTTCATCCACCCAAAGAGTTAAGGATAAATTATTTGGAAATAATAATAAATTCCCATCCTCACGAAGTGTTCTGTACATTTGTTCATTGTAGATGTCCTTAATATTGCAATCATTTCTTTTTTTATAGGTATCTTTATAGTGCAAGGATTTTGATATAATAGATAATTTCAAAATGTCAAGTAATTGAGAAATAATTTTTAACAATATCAATGTTTCCAAATTTTTATTTCTTAAACTAGTCCATAGTTAGTGCTTTGTTGTTAAAATTCCGCTACACATAAATAATTCGTCTAACCATATCAATCGGTTAATGAGAGTTTCACAAGTCTCTCTATGCACCACATCCTGGGTAATAGTTTTAACAAAATGGTCTATAAGAAACAGTTCGTTATGATGTTGCAGAACACGATGCATCCTAACATTGTTTTCAAAAACATCCATTTCCCCATACGAAGATGTAATATCTTCTGATGAATTTATAGCTTCTTTATAGATCTAGAAAAACAACACGTATGAAATTAATAAATGCAAGTTTTTCACTGAAACAAAAGGAGTTTTAATATTTTAGAAAAAACTTTTATCAACCTTTTGCTACTCAGAAAAAATTCTCTAACTTTTCTGGACTATTTGCTACAGTAATTTAAGGGGGATTACTCATGAGAAAAAAATTTTTCTTCGAATTTTTGTTTGTTGCTTTTTTAAAATCCTTAATATCTCTAGAATAAAGGTTTAAAATTTTATGACGACATTTAGCTCCTATCAAAAGTTACAGTACATCACACTACCGTCAGAGTGGCTCCACGCGCATGGACCAAAAACATACCAATCTTTAAATTATGATATTCCTGTAAAAACTGATGCCAGAAACTTAACAAATCTACCGTTTAAAAGCTCATAATATTCTAGGTTAAATGATATACAATTAGAAATTTTTAGAAATTACACAAAGATTTTAACAATCGACAAATTTTAAAAAGAAAATTAAAAAATTAAAGTTTATTTGACAATTTTTTTAACTCTGGCATATTTTTAAAATTTTGAGACAAAATTAAAAACTTACACTACCGTCCGTGAGTATCAGGGCGCCCCTTTTTTCATGAGTGGAAAAATGCTTAAAACGTAGAAAATAACAATGACCAAAAATTTTCGTATTTTTTTCCTGAAAGCTAATGAAATTATGAAAAGACTGACACCTGATCGAAGAATTTTTATTGACTATTCTGTCAGATACAGAAAAAATACTGGATTTTGCATGCTTTTCGTAATTCTTTAATTTCTCGAATACTAATGAACTTTTATTAGCGCTCTTGGTCTTGTTTTAATCTCTATTCAATGTAGAATCTAAATTATTAACTGGTATTGTGAAATAAATTTTTCCAAAAAAATTTGAAACCGTCAAAGTAGGATTAAAAAAATTCAAAAAATTGTCATGAATATTAAAGTGTCAAAAAGGTCAATGTAAAATATGTTTATTTAATAGATATACTAAAATTCAAAAAAAAATTTTAATTACTTAATTACACTGTGTGACAAAATAAAAAAAGTTGCCAGCACTTTTATAGAGACCTAGTACAAGTCGTAGGTCTAGTAAAACTATGAACAATGATGTGTGAGAAATTCCCCCAACACCCCCAAAATTTAATTTTAGGGGCAAAGAACCGTTTTTTGTGTTTTTATGTAGAGAATTATACGTAACTTCCGTAATTTTTAACCGATTTTCAAAATTGTTCTTTTGTTTGAAAGGGGAAAAGCACACCTTTTCAACCGTGTCTTGCTCGTTTAGTCAAAATAAAAATTGACAAAACCGCGGTTGAAAATATTTGCGATTTAACGATTTTCATTACATTTCTTTAACTTTAACGAGCTTTTTAGAATAATATTCGAATTTACACATTTTTTTCATGATAATTTCTTAAAAGTATACTTAATTCTGCGTAAAATGAGCATTTTTTAAAAAAAAAATTTAATACAAATTGAAGGAGATACGTGAATTTTAAGATTTTAAAATTTTTTCGCTAAATTTACAAATATTTCAATTTTGTTGTGGAATTTACATCAGGGCACTTTAAATTTTGTATTCACTAAATTTAATTGATTAGCTGAAACGGCATGCATGTCAAACTTGTTTTTGATAGATTTAAATAAAGACATAGTCCGTATTTAGAGGGGGTTCGGTTAAATTTTAACTTTTCTATAATTTATATTGTTTAAGTGTGTCAATGTTTTTCAAACATTATTTAGGATTAAAATCTATTCTATAATCTTCAAATAAAGAATAACAGATAATTATTTGACAATTTATATAAGAATGCCTTAAAATTTCGTAAAATATAAATTTGAACTTCTACCACATTTTTTAATTATTTTTTATTGTCGAACTTTTCATATGCTTTTTTCGCAATACTGAACAATTTTATTAATTTTGATAACATAGAATAGATTTGAATCCTAAATAATGTTTGAAAAACATTGACACACTTAAACAATATAAATTATAGAAAAGTAAAAATTTAACCGGACCCCCTCTAAATACGGACTCTGTCTTTATTTAAATCTATCAAAAACAAGTTTGACATGCATGCCGTTTTAGTTAATCAATTAAATTTACTGAATACAAAATTTAAAGTGCGCTGATGTAAATTCCACAACAAAATTGAAATATTTGTAAATTTAGCGAAAAAATTTTAAAATCTTAAAATTCACGTATCTCCCTCAATTTGTATTAAATTTTTTTCAAAAAATGCTCATTTTACGCAGAATTGAGTATACTTTTAAGAAATTATCATGAAAAGAATGTGTAAATTCGAATATTATTCTAAAAAGCTCGTTAAAGTTGAAAAAATGTAATGGAAATCGTTAAATCGCAAATATTTTCAACCGCGGTTTTGTCAATTTTTATTTTGACTAAACGAGCAATACACGGTTAAAAAGGTGTGCTTTTCCCCTTTCAAACAAAAGAACAATTTTGAAAATCGGTTGAAAATTACGGAAGTTACGTATAATTCTCTACATAAAAACACAAAAAACGGTTTTTTGCCCCTAAAATTAAATTTTGGGGGTGTTTGGGAAATTTCAAACATACTACTTTTTTCATTTTTTCAACACGAACAAGTTAGGATAGGTCCGATTTAAAGTGCCATTTTACTGTCACACAGTGTTATTTAATTAAAAAAATTTTTTTTTGAAAAAGTGTCAATCTGTTTTTCAAAAATTTTTTATCCGACTTTCACAGTTTCAAAATTTTTTTAGAAAAATTTATATTACAATACCATTAATTAATTTAGATTCTAAATTGAATAGAGAGTATTTTTCTGTATCTGACAGAATAGTCAACGAAAGTTTTTCGATCAGGTGTCAGTCTTTTCATAATTTCATTAGCTTTCAGGAAAAAAATACGAAAATTTTTTGTCATTCTTATTTTCTACGTTTTAATCATTTTTCCACTCATGAAAAAAGGGGCGTCCTCATACTCACGGACGGTAGTGTATATATGTGCGATCCTTTAAGTCTCATCTTTAATTTAAGACCAAAAACGTTAAAAAATCTTATTCGTTACGCTAGATATCATTATAAATATCAGTTCATGTTTTTAGACAAATGCATTAAATTAGGGGAGGGTATGCTACATTGAACCGGGTTTTTTATAAAGTCCAAGAACTAATTAAATTTTACAAATTTTGATCAGGTTTTTGTATGAAAATAAAACTGAAGTACACAAATTATTATGATTAAATAATGAAATTTAATTTTTTTCTAACCAGTTACACTTTTAGTATTTTAAAGAATGTGTGTCTACATTGAACCACCTCTAATAAAACACTACAATTTACTTCGAAAATAATATTTCCACTTACACATTGTAAAAAATCTTATTTTCTATTCAAAAAAATAGAAAATTGTTGTTAAATAGTTATTCAGGCCTGACAAGAGGGGGGCAGCAGGGGTAAATGCCCCGGGGCCCGGTCGCTCTGGGTTTAAAAAAAAATTAGTATAAACCAAATTTTAGAGTGAAGTCCAATATTAGCAGAGATTGTAAAATCGAAAGCAGAATTTAATAAATGGGAAAAGAGGTTGGAGGACAAAAGTTCCAAAGATTTTAATTTCTAAAGTTTCTTTTTCCGTAAGTTCTAAAACTTTTTTTTTCTAAATACCAAAAGTTCTAAACCTTCTTTTTTCCAAAGACCAAAAGTTCTAAAAGTTTTTTTCCAAAGACTAAAAGTTCCGTTCTTCAAAAGCGTCATTGAACCAATAATTTATCTAAAGATAAAAAATCCGATTCCATTTTTACAAAAATCTTTTATACAACATATCTTTTTCAGGATGGCTCCAATATAAATTTTTTGAATTTTTAATGTTTTTAAAAAATTTTGTACTTTTAACACCCATACAGCACCGCAACTTTTCTAAAAATTTGTTAAAGATTTACTTGCAATCTTCGA